CCTAGTCTCTTACATGTGGGGCCTTTCTCTTTTGTGAAATAGGCAGAAATAAAATCAGAAATGCTTCAAATCACCTGACGAATCGTAGCCTTGTGTCCGCCGCCTTCCTTGCACGCCACGTACCCTCCACCCCCCGCAAGCCCCACACGCAGTGCCATATCATGCATTTTCCCTATCTCCATCAGAGAAATCACGACTTGTCTTCCTTCGCCTCATTGTCAACATCGAAGCAAACCATACCAGCTTGTCCCATCCTCTCCTCTCCCTCATCCTCACACACTGCTCCTCCGACAAGCTCAAGAGGCGGCCAACCAATGCTGCAAGGCCAGGACACGGCGCTACAACTTGTCTGCACGCTGCTTCAAGGGGAGAGAGAGGCGACGGCAACCACCCATGGTGTTTATGAAACATAATTCGTGTTGCAGAGGCACGCGTCTACGAGCTCCCTAGATTGCTATGTCACCAACGTTTCTGAAATAATTGGTGTTGCGGAAGTGTGGGTGCTACGAGCTCGCCATATTGCAAGTTTGCAACCTCACCGTCGGTTTCGGAAACATCGCTGATGTTGCGGAGACACGAGTCTTGCGGGCTTGTCAAATTGCTACTTTGCTGATGTTTCTGGAACATGGTTGATGTTGCAATGCTGTTTTCGCAAAGGGAGGATGCATGAGGCAAATTGCCACTTAGCTGATGTTTCTGAAATATGGCCAATGTTACAAAGATGTTTCTTTGTGAAGGAAGGATGGGTGAGACGCGGGATACACTGCAGGCCATTTGATCATTGCTGATCTGATGGTCAAGGAGGCGTTGGATAACTTAAAGTTATCACCCGACCCGACGGGTAGCACGACCCAAATAAAATGTTGAGGAAGTAGAAGGTTGGTCTAGGCACCTAACGTGGGTTCTAGCTTCCATTCCGCCGTGCAATTTGTTACTCATTGGGCGCAGAGTTGATGTGTTTTCTTTTTGTGATTTTTGACAACCCGTTACCCTAGTCAGAAATGTTGTCGTTTGAGCAAATTTACTCTGTCAGAATCAAGCCTAGCTAAGAATTTTGAGTTGTATTGGCATATGCGATTGAACTGTTCCTCATGTCTGTAAGCACAGTATCGATTTACTTTAAATCCTGTGTAACACACGGAGACTAATTTGCTATCTACGATTGCAGTGTGCATGGATGGGACGCCGGCCGCTTACCACCTGGACCGGGGCTCCGGGGCAGGGAGCAAGAGCTGGATCGTCAACCTCGAGGTACCTCGCGGGCGCACTTGTACAGTGGTGCATGTATGATCTTGCCTGATCGATGCATTGCATGGTAAGTGCAGGGAGGCGGGTGGTGCAACAACGCGAGGACGTGCAGGTTCCGGACAAGGACCCACCATGGCTCGTCCAACTTCATGGAGCGGCAGATCAGCTTCACCGGCATCATGAGCGCCAGCCCCGCCGAGAATCCTGGTACGGTCCGTCTCAAGTCTCAACTCCAAAACCAAAAAAGGGCACTACATGATCAATCTGCGACGAACGAAATGTATGCCATCGACGTACGACATGTGCATTTTTATCATGCAGATTTCTACAACTGGAACCGGGTGAAGATCCGCTACTGCGACAGCGCCTCCTTTGCCGGCGACACCTTCGACAAGGTGCATATTAGTTCCTTATACGCAACAATGTGTCAGCTCTTCATGCATCGATCCGTGGTGGCATCAATCATCCTATGTTTTGACGCATAATTTTTCTTCTGTAAATATGTTGCAGGCTACTGGGCTCTACTTCCGGGGGCAGAGGATTTGGGAGGAAGCCATCCAGCACCTCCTCTCCATCGGGATGGCGTCGGCCGACCGGGCGCTTCTCACGGGCTGCTCCGCCGGGGGGCTGGCGGCGATACTGCACTGCGACCAGTTCGGCGCCTTCTTCGCCGGCCGAGGCACCACCGTCAAGTGCCTCGCCGACGCAGGCCTCTTCCTCGACGCGTACGGCTAAGTGCTCGACCGTCCCACTAAAGTATATCATTGCCGTCACTATCACCTGGTTGATCGACCGTTTGCGTGCAGCGTGGATGTCTCCGGGGGCCGTAGCTTGAGATCCTACTACGGCGACATTGTGGCCATGCAGGGAGTGGCTCCGCACCTTCCGCCCACCTGCACCGATCACCTCGACGCCACCTCGGTGCGTGCGTGCTTCATTTAGTTAGTTTGCGTGCAAGATAGATCATTCGTGAGTGATTCTCTTCTGTCTCTCAACTGATCCTAGCCACCTTGATGTTTCTTTTGCACGCACGCCCGCAGTGCTTCTTCCCTCAGGATATCATCGACAGCATCAAGACGCCCATCTTCTTGCTCAACGCAGCCTACGACGTCTGGCAGGTAATCAGATATCTGCACTACACATGAATGATGATTTATCTTGGGTAATTGATTTTTGCAATGAGCTAGCAAACGTGACGGAACCTTAATCAGATTGAGGAAAGCCTGGCCCCAAGCAAAGCTGACCCCAGCCGCGCCTGGCGAGCCTGCAAGTTCAACCGCTCGGCTTGCAATGCGTCTCAGATAAACTTCCTGCAAGGTAAAACAACAATTCAACTCGCCACTCCAAACCTAACCGACTGAGAGTAACTAGCACCAAAGCCGTTGCGTTAGAGGCAAAACACAATACTCTTTTCAGTGAAGTGAGGATCTGGACAAGTACCGAGTCCGGAGTAACTAATTTTGTTCACATATGCAGGTTTCAGAGATCAGATGGTAGCATCCGTGAGAGGCTTCTCCAGTTCCAAGAGCAACGGGCTCTTCATAAACTCGTGTTTCGCCCACTGCCAGTCCGAACTGCCGGCCACCTGGAATGGCACCCCTGCCATTCAGAACAAGGTAGTGGAATACATCAAGTCTCACCAGCATTTACACTTTTTTTTTGTGAGGAATTGCATTTACACATTTAACACATCCGTTAACAGTTTATATAAATTTTGTGGTCGTTGCAAATACAGAGGATCGCAAAATCTGTCGGCGATTGGTACTTTGGCCGGGCCGAAGTGAAGGCGATCGATTGCCCATACCCCTGCGACAACACATGCCGCAACATCATATAAGAAGATCTTGCAAGCAAGAGCTGACTCGAGCCTCATGATTAGGATTTAGAAACCGTGGCAAAGTTTTTTTTAGGTTTTCATAGAGACTTCAAAGGCCGGATGCTATGTCTTTATGTATGATGTAATTATGAAGATCTCTTCCGACTAAACTTGTTAAATGTAGCAGAAATAAAAAGAGAAGAGGCTAAGAGAGGGGAAAAAGACCCCCAATTTTTCTCGTGACAAAGACAGTCAACTCTCTATGCCCTCTCCCTAGCTAAACTTAACTCCCCAAAAACGAGGGTATTGGCCTTTTGGGAGGCTTGCACCTAGTCCTTCCCCTAAACTTAACGACTTCTTTGACACATTGCAAAGTGAGATCCATTGTTGCCCTCCGAGGCATGTAAATTGTCTTCAAATATGTTGCATGGAGATTTCCTGCAATTAGAGGAAATCTTTGCAAGACATTGAGGTCGTTGTACGAGCCAGACATCCCAAAGTAAGAATGCTAAATCTATAAATCCTCTTATTCGACTACTTAAAGTATGATGGTTGGATCATGGCAACGTCGGTGAACTGTCGGTACCATGCCGCATGACAATTCTTCCATGTCCAATGCATAAAATTAATTGATCCAAACATCCGATGGAAGCCCCTTTACTCACCTATCACCATAAGCCTCAGAGTGCCTCAAGTAATCAACTTGGAGGAGCTCAATTACAACCAGTGTAAATCTGTTCACACTCTCGATGATGGTATCATAAACCAGGTACCATGAACATCACTACGCCAAGCCAGAAAGCGTCAACTGGACCATGCAATGACGAGGGCGTGAGCCAACGCAATACAACATGAGGTGAATCTTTTCCTCAATGACTACCCACTTGATATGCCTAGGGGTAATGGTGGGCTGCCTAACACATGAACCTTGTGTATGCTTAGGGTTGAAGACGAGGAACATGAAGAAGCAAGGATAGATAGCCAAGACACGGACTCGGAGCAAGGAAAAGGACAAATGGAATATCCCCTGCCTGGCCAGAGCGACCCTAGACGCATCACAGGCCCTTGGCCGGACCGTCAGGCGCTAGTATTTGTAGCCATAGAGCCTGCGGCCAGATCATCCGAGGAAAATTGTCGGATCATACAGGGCACAGACTGAATGACCCCAGACAAGCCACCAGACCGTCGACACTAGGAGCGACCACACACTATGGACTAAAGGTCCATCAAAGCTTAGCCCCAAATCGTTTGGGCTAGACAACCAAATTGTTCGGGCAGCTGCATGAGTGCGGATTTGGGCCAAGGCATGTGTAGGAAACCGGACGTAGCATGTTTAATGTTTGTTGTTGCTGGATTTGTTTATCCTCGTTTTTCTTCCTCTCATTTGCCTCTCTCTCCTTCAATTTGTGAAGATCAGGCAACCTGAGGTCGACCAGACGCATTGTTTGGTATAGGAGCAGAGGTTGCCTCAGATTGGTTGTATCACCCTTCTCGTCCCCTATCTTGCTAGCTTTCTTTTGGATTTTTATAACAAAATTTGAAAATCATCTGAGCCATGAGAACTAGGCTGTAGCCAAGTGGCAAAGGGAGTTAATTTCTGATTCCTCACTCGGGTGAGCTTCTTCTATAAAAACATGTCATGAATGGATCTCATTTAAAAGAAGAAGAAAAAGGTAAAGTGTCAATAAAGGTATCCATTCTGTCAAAAAACTTCTCCTTGCCGAAAGTACCATTCTACACCCAGGAGCAAATGCTCCTGGTGTGAACAGTGAAATCAAAAAAATACAAAAAATTCTGAAATTTTTTGGTGACATACTTTCACGAATGTTTCTTGTGCATGAAAATTTTCATCATGAAATCACATTCGTGGAAGTCATGCCAAAAAAACAAAATCAAAGCTCCAAAATGCTTTTGTAAGTAACATTCTTAGAGCATCGATTTTGTTTTTTTACCACACCTTCGACCAATGTGATTTCGCGATGAAATTTTACGTGCACAACAAACATTTGTACAAGTATGCCAAAAAAAATCAAAATTTTTTGGCTTTTTTTTATTTTACTGTTCTCCACGTCCTCTCCTTGCCCGTTTCTTTGTGAGCCATGCTACCCCTCTTGTAGAAACTTCAAACCTACCGAGATTAGTTCACCAACCATTTCTGTTACGAACCTAAAATCTGGTTCAAAATATGAAATGAATAAAACCCGGTTCAAAGTGTCACAAGGTCATAATATCTAGTTCAATGTGAAATTGGACAACATAATTATAAAACCTTCAATCTTTTATAATGTGAAAATGCTTCTAAATGAATCTGCACATATCCTAGCTATTATATAATAAAGTATTATTATTACTACGCTTGAACTGCGACCGTTTTCCCAAAGAAAACCGCTTTTCCAAAGAAAAAAAACCCAGAGGGGTACTAAGCTCTAGCATGTGGATGTAGTTATAATTGCGCAGTTATAAAACCTATAGCCAAGAGGCTGTAGATTTCAAAAATAGAGGTGCACTTATATTACAAATTTACAAGAGGCTGCTAGCCTTTGAGCGAACAAAATACTTGACATCTTTCAACCAAACAAAGGACGAATCTAGATATCTACGTCAAGACTAAAAAGGACCAAGATGCTCACTTTGTTCAGGGCTCCAGCCCTTCTCAATCTGTAACGAGCTGCTCAATCTTCACAGTTGACTCAGGAGGGTTCTGCTCAGCCCACACAGCTGCATCCTGGTACCCAAGCTCGTACAATTTATCGAGAACTTCATCTTCAGCAGGTTCCAGAGCCCAGTTAAACAGCTGGAATTCGTTCAAGAGCACCGAGGGTAAGTTATAGAACAAAACCATGGATAGTTGCAAGAACTGGTACATGCGAATTTCTGCTACCTGTCGTGGAGTAGCTCTGTTCTCCGGATTGCAGTCTGGACTAATACCAATCCCTTGCAGTCCTAGTCTGCCAGCTGGGAAAGCACAGATTCGAACCTAAATTAACAGCCATACCAGTCAGTGATGAGCATTGTGTTAAACCAAAATGTGGTCTGAGTACTACAGTAGACTGGTTCTACCAGTGGACAGTGAATGGTGCTGAAAAGTGAAAACAGAGTAACAGAGTGTACAAACAAAAGCCTCAGCTCGCAAGTGAGGACGAATATCAGGCAAACTTATGCCCGTGCTCTCGTATGAAGGAGAAGTGCTTGTGTGGAAGGCACAAAATAAAGATAGTATTTCAGTTAAGTATGGTCATGAGTATAAAAGAGTATAAACAAGTGTATTTGAGAAAAATATGCAAAGAACAACATTGTGAGGCAAACACATGTAGAAACATCCTTTCAATGGCAGATCATCAAACAGAAGGAGAGATGTCTTCATTGTTGGGAGAAAGGAAGAAAATTCCTCCCAGAAGAAATAAATGAAAGACAAGGCTCCAGATAATTGTGTATCTAAAAGTACCCTAAATTCCAAAAATATACTCCCTCCGCCCATAATATAAGAGCGTTTTTTACACTAGTGTAGTGTCAAAAACGCTCTTATATTATGGGATGGAGGGAGTAGCATGCAAGACACTAATAATGCTTATGATCAGAATAATGTTGCAGGAACAGCAAAAGGAAGTTGTAGATATACTGTTTCAGAAGCAGAAGTAGGTGGCATAAACAATGTAAGCCCCCCATCAACGCACAGCCTGTTACGGAATAAAGTCGCAGGCCTGGGGGCTAAGTATCTGAAATAAGAACACAAAGAAATCGTCTTCTCATTAAGCAAAATATAAGAACACAAATGCAGTGTTAGGAAAGGTTAGCATGAGTCTCACCCAGGAATAAACGAAGATGTAATAATTGCATTAATCACGTCTTCCTTGGAGTCAAACTGGTCGACCAGTAAGCCCCTAGGCCTCCAGGACAACTGAGTAATAGCAACTGTATGAGAAGAACATCAGTTTTCTGAAAATGACCAAGCTAAGTTGCCAGAGATAAAAATAGCAGAAAATGCACATAGACAACATGAAGATACAACACTTGTATAGTATAAAGCTTACCACGGATCCTTCCGTTGCACCTGATATGCAGATCATCTGGGAGAAACTTTTCTAGAACATCCTTGAGTACAGCCTGCACAAGGGCACAGGATTACATGGTGAAAACCTGTAAAAGTTCACCAGCTAATACAAGTAAGAACTAGTGCTTGGACATAATATCTTTGATCTTCAGCTTATTTATTTAAGGGCGTATAACAAGATGGCAGGTTATTCATCACCCTTTTATGCCACTACTTTGTTTGTAAATGAAAACATGAACTTAATCTTGAGTAAGTACAGCAAACACCAAACAAACCAAAATTTGAAAAATGAGATAATCTATAATACTACAACAAATTCCCAACTCAGTTGGAAAATTAGTCATAAATAAACCATGACTCGCATAGTTTTACCTATAATTTACATGTTCAGGTACTTGAGTCAAGAGTTGGCATCTGGCACCCAATGATATATGACAAATATAACTTGACGAGCTAAATTTTCATAGCTCAGTAGGTTTTGAATTTTTTAAATAGATTAATTTTACAGAACCAAGAGCTCAAGGATTAAAGCAGTGTATGCATACATAGTAAACAAACAGACGCTCCACATCGTTTCTGTCACAGTCCATTTTAGTCACCAAAATTCATGATAACTCATGTCTCATGGTCATGCACTGCTGATGCTACTGATCCAGTTTTGCAGCATCTTAATCTTTTTAATAATTAATTCATAATGTTGCACTTCAACAGATAAACACCACAAAACAGAACAATGCAAGGGTTCTAACTCATAAAGAAAACACAACACAACAATTTAGAGGAAAATACTTCACTTCGAGCATTTTTTCCAGGTCATTTGCTCCCTTACCTTACCATAATTTATCCATACAGCACTCAGTATACTTAAAACATATACTCCCTTCGTTCCAAAATAAGTGTCGAGGAACAGAGGGAGTACTTTACAAAAATAAACAAAAGACATACCCCAAGGCGAAAGGCAGTCCCTTTACTCCGGCAGTCTTCAGCTAGAATCTTGGTCACCTGAAGAGCCTCTTGCATTGTGTTCCCGGATGCAATCACTGCACAGATTATGGCACCAGCTGATGAGCCAGCTAACGGAGTTCTTTCCTAATGCATATGCCAAAAAGGGAAAAGAATAGTCTATAAGAAGGTTTCTACAATAGATGAATATATAAGTTTGGATCACACATAAGTGATGAACGCGCACGTATACTAGTTCCCATGCATAACCACGGCATGCCCTGCCACCACCTAGTACAAAGTAGCATGAGATCAAGACACAACCAAGCTACATGTATTTTAACCCAAAAGGCGCTCAATTGCTTGTAGGCACCAGGCACAACAATGGCTGAAATCACTATTTGTCCGAGCTATACAGTACAGAAAGTATGGATGCACATGAGGATATGGCGATGAGGTGGGGGATAAAGATGCGTACTGTGATGTAGCCTTTGTCGAGGAGGCACTGCGCGACGCCGAGGTGGTAGGGGAAGAGAAGCCCGGCGGCTGAGAAGCTGAACCCGGGGCTCGCTGTCGCCACCTCCCTCCGCTGCCGCTCCGCCTCCACGTCCTCCGGGCGCTGCTCCCACAACACCCCCTCGCTCCGCTCCACCTCCTCCACCGGCGCCGTCCCTCTCCCCGCGCGGATGAACAGCGCACTCAGACCCAAGAACAGCTCCCCCGTTCTCACCGCAATCGACTTCTTCTCGCTCTCGGCCTGCGGAGGCGGCGGCGGCGGCGGCTCGGGGTCGCGGCGCGCGGCGGCGCGGGCGAGTAGGAGGCGGAAGCGCGACGCTCGTGCGGAGGCGGAAGCCGGGGGCGGAGGGGGAGCGGTGTGGGACGGCGAGGGTTTGGGCGGGAGGCCGGAGGCGGAGGAGGAGAAGGCGAGGAGGGAGGCCATGAGGTCTCGTCGGCGGCCGACGAGAAGGCCGCGTGCGCTCGCCCGAAGCATACGGTGCTGCGTAAGCTCGGATTCTTCTATGTCGTCGTTTTGTGCGTGGATATCACAAATTTTCTTTAGATTAGAAAATAAGTATGAGATTTGTTGTCTTTTGACGCACGTAATAGCTCAGTGAAATTCAGAAAACACGGATATTATGATGTTCTTGCGGCATGAAGGAGTAGATTTTATTTTATGGCACGCGGTAGATTAATCCGAGTTTTATGCCACACGCGGCTGCCAGTTGGTTTTCTCTTCAGATACGACCAAACTTTATATTTTTTAGCAAAAAGACCAAAATTTATCTATAACGATATCTATACCCATTATTAAAGGGAATATGTATTTTTGGTTTGGTTTAGTCCTTTTCGTTTGATTTGAGTGCACGCGGGCAGGTACTTCTATATTGATGGGCCTTTTATGGGTTTTCATAGAGACAGTGAAAAATAATTGGATCAAAATAAATCAATATTGGAAGAATTAAACATAGAACCTCTTGTCTAGATTGTCGATGTAACAACCAACAACCTATACGCCATTCACATTTACTAATCTCAACTCACTCTAAATATACGAATGGCAATCCTCATGTTTAAGGCAAGCTAATTAAGCAAATGAGCTAATTAAAGGAAGAATTGTGGGCTTAAATAAAATATTTAAAAGGATGTGACTAATTAAAAAAGGGTTATTGGTAAACCGGTGGAATAATTAAATGAAATATTACGATCTTAATAAGTAGAATATTCAAGTAGATGAGGCTAATTAAAGGAAGATGAGGCTAATTAAAGGAAGGACTTGAGATAAAAAATGTAGGATAATTAAAAGGAAGGATTAGTAGGCTTCAATGTGTTGAGGCTACTAATTAAAAAAGGAAGGATTTGATTTCCAACTAAAACGGGCGAGGACATCATGGAATTAAAGGAAGGATTATACTTAAACAGAATTAATGAAAGATTATGCCCGGCAAATAAAATGTAACATGGCTAAATTGCATCGTATTTTTTATGTTTATTTTATAGAAGAATGCTGCGTTGCAGCATGTTCTTCATAGTGAATCTGATGTTGTGAAACATTATGCTTGCACAAAATATCATATTTTTTTTCCGTTGCAACGCACGGGCATATGTGCTAGTATTAATTAAAGACCATAAATAGTGAGACATAATTTGGGTCATGTGATTGTTTAAACCATACATGACGACCAGGTTGTTAAGCCTCGCTCTTATTAAGAGTATCTATAGCCGGGGCGGGCTAACTTGGCCTCCCAAATCTTCGCGGGCGTGTTTTGAGCCCCTATTTGTCATGAACACAACCATGTCCTCCAAGGTAAGTGATTAAGATTACTCTTTGTAAAGGTTCCTCTCATCTTCTTAGATTATGAGTGCGCCACGTGTTGTAACTTGGGAGTTTTCTCTTTTTTATAGACTCATTTATTCAAAATTTTGTCTCTTAAATCGTGCGTCCAAATTTCGAATCGTTTTCATCGTTGGATTTCTCTTGTCGATATCTTCAAAATTAGATCACAGGTTGATAGATTTCAACAAACATTTTTTAGGAAAAAAAACTGAACCAGAAGCATTTTTTCTTTTTTCGAAGAGGCACGACTGTGTCTCTTGCGAAGGCAAATTCGTGCCTCCACAAGAAGTGAATATGTGTCTCTCGCGGAAGGAAAAAACATATATTTTTTTCTTTTTTCGAGAGGCATGAATGTGATTCCCGCAGAAGGAAATCCGTGCCTCCACGAGAAGTAAATCCATGCCTCTCAGGGAAGGAAGAAATAGAAAACATGACTTTTTTCCTTTTCTGAGAGGCACGACTATGCTTCCCGCGGAAGCAAATCCGCGCCTACACGAGAAGTAAATCCACGCCTCTTGTGAAAGAAAAAAACACATTTTTTTTGCTTTCCCAAGAGGCACAACTATGGCCCAGTTTTTTTGCCAGAATCTGGAGATTCTCCCAGAATCCAACCCCGACCCAGCTTCTCCCAGAATTTTTGAGCCTCATTTGGTTTACAATCCTATCTAGTTAGGGTCTAATTAGACAGGATTGTAAAACAAATGGGGGTCAAAGATTCTGGGAGAAGCTGGGTAGGGGTCGGATTCTGGGAGAATCCCCAGATTCTGGGAAAAGAACTGGGCCTATGTCTCTTGTGAAAGCAAATCCATGCTTACACGAGAAGTAAATTTATGCCTCTTACGGAAAGGAAAACATGTTTTTTCGCGCAATTTTTTCTTCCAAAATCTAAGAAAACCCGAGGGAAACCAAAAGGTAAAAAAACCGAATAAACATCTAAAAGCCGAAAACGCGTACAGAAAAATAAAAAACAAAATTCGGAGAAAGCACCCATAGTGTGGCGACGGCTGAGAGTGCGCCAAATGGCATATGCTCCCAGCCCATCCAAAGTGACCCTTGCGGGGGCTTCCGAAGGAGTACTCACTGATTAGTTGCTCCCTCCACTTTCCACTTTATATGTCTGACATGCATTTGATCGTGCAGGATTGAAGAGAGAGAGAGAAACAAAAAATAATAAGGAAAACATTTGTATTCAACCAGATGAAAACAGCGCACGCATGTTGCTCGAGAGGTTTCCCCTGGGCCATCGATCGCTTCCCTCTCGAGCCTGATCTATTCGCACGATCTCTCTCCTCCGCGCGACTTCCTCACTCCTGTTTTCCCGCTTCCCTATCTCTGGCTCCCATGACGACTCAGTTCAGCCGCTCACACTGTTGCGGCCCAGGAGGAGCAACGCCACCCACAATCCGCTGCAATCTGCCACGCGCCCCGCTGTGATGTTGCAACCCCGTGGGGCGACACGTGACGTACTCCTGCAATGCAACATGTAGGGGACGGGCAGGCGTTGCCGACGATGCGATGTGTCGCTCACCGACTCCCGTCGATGCTGCAGCACAACAACTAGACCACGACCATGGGTCATATGTTGCATTGGAGCTTCACCGGAGCCGTCAATGCTGCATTGGAGTCCTGTCGAAGTTGCATTGGAGCTTCATTGGATGCGTCGGTGCTGCATTTGAGCTTTGCCGGAGTTGCATTGGAGTTTTCACCGGAGCCGTCAGTGCTTTGTTGGAGCTCCGCCGGTGCTGCATACGCTGGCGACAATGTCGACGTCTGCTGCATCATCATCGGTGTTGTGATGCAGCATCGTCGGGGCCGTAGATGTGTTGCGATGGAGGACATACAAGGTCGAGAGGGGTCCCCATGGATGTCTGGCAAGAGGAGGAAGACGAGTTGTGAAGCATATGATCGAAAGGCCTCGTGCGCCTAATCGGATGGCTCCCGAGGAGGATTTTTTTGCAAACATCATCCATATGATTTGTAGCAACGACCAAAAAAATAAAAGAAAAGGAAAGATGGACCAGGCCAAATCCTATATGGCACATTGACTGGACACGCCTAGGCATCCCATATCCTTCCCATATATAGGGGGGGTATCAGGGTTCGCGGAATGCCCGCCTAGACCGTTTGGGGAGAATTTGAGGGGACCAGTTGTAGTTGTTCTAAGCCTCTCAAGTCTCAAGGTAGGAGTACTACATACTGGACCTACCTAGAAAGAAGAAAAGAAAAAAAAATACCTCCACCCCACCCATGTCGCTCACATATGGGCACCTAAAAAAGAAAAATGAAAATTTTGAAATTGATTTAGTGATCCATGGCTAATGCATAGGATGCACCTAGCAACGGCACACCGGCTATTTGAATGTCGTCGACCAATACACATGGCGGAGCAGCGAGGGAACATGCTAGGGGAATGTGTGTGAGGTGCGAGAACTCACACAGATGCTACCGCGGAGCGGGATGCATGTGCAAGGCCTCGGGGTTGCCGGAATCGAGTTAGGGTCGAGCTCTAGTGGCGGTTGGCGGGCGTCGATAAGTGCGGCGGGGACATAGGGTATTAGAGGGAGAGATGGAAGAGGGGCGCTAGATCCACGAGCTTACCAGAAACACATAGGCAGGGGCGGTAGAGCCAGAGGAGCAAGGGAGTGGAAGAATGGCGGGGAGCGACAGACTCTGGACGCCACTCGTGACTCCTTGTTGCCCACCTGTGAATGAGCCATACCGAGCATGTCCACCTTCGTTGGGCATCTCTTCTATCATCCAATAAGGACGATGCCACCTACCTCGATGTCCGTCTTCCCGAGCCTTCCGGCTAGTTAGTTTTTTCAAGTAATGGTCAGATTTCTTCTCTCTGACCCCTCTCTCTGCATATAAATATATCCCATAACCCTTGAGTTGATTGCATGTTTTGGAGAGACTTAGAAACATCTTTCATAGCAGAACTTTGAGAGATTGAAGGCCATGCTCCTCCCTTTCTTGAACCCATTGCCTTTGTGCTCTATCTCATCGCTTCAATCTATCTTTGTTGTGAGAGTGATCTTATGTGTTCTTGAGAGAGTCAATTGAAGATCTTTTGAGAAGTTCATCCAAGTGATTTTGCTTAGTTTGTTACTCTTTGAGGGCGTGGACCTCCTAGATGGTTATGAGTCATTTGAGAGCCTTCAACATGTGAAGGAATGAAAAGTTTGAATAAGTTACAGTAATTGCCTTCTTCGTGGAAGATCAACCCCGGGTGAGGCGTTGACCTTAGTGGTATTAAGCCATGGTGGAATAGATCGGAATGCATTTTGTGGGCTCTTTGTGGTCTACATTGTCAAGACATTTGTGGTGTTAGGACTTTGTGTCTCAACCCTCGCCAACAAGGAGTGGGATAATGCTAACCATTTTTTCTTGAATATGCACGAGTGTGCATATCATATATTAAAGAAGAAAGGTAAAGAAAGGCTCCACCAAAAGTTACATTTACATGTGTGTGCGGCTTTTAGCGCGCACCCACTCCACTCAGCTACAAGTAACCTACTCCTCCCTCATAGCCCACCTATACAAACTACCTTGGAAACTCCCCAAGTCCCTCTTGATTAGCGCTGCCGTAGCCCACACTTTGGCCTCAGACTTCACCTTCTAGATGAGCCTCTCGATCGATGGGGAATCGCCGTCGAAAACAATGGCATTTCAATGCTTCCAGAGCTCCCACGTTACGAGTATCATTACTGTACGTAGGTCCTTGATCCTCGTTTCACCATCCGCGCTTCTGCTGCAAAGCCAGTCCCCAAGCTTGTCCTCCTGGCTTGGTTTCCAGTCTGCTCTGCCAAGAGCCTCTTCTATGCGCGTCCAAGCTATTCTGGCGAACACCCACATGAGCAAAATGTGGTTTATCGTTTCTTCTTCTTGATCACAAAACGGGCACGTGTCCTGGTGCGGCAAACCCCTCCTTGCTAGCCGGTCCGAGGTCCAACACCAATTTCTGAGGGCCAACCACGCAAAGAAGCGACATTCCAACGGCGCCCGAGATTTCCAAGTCAGCTTTGATGTGGACACCACCTCACGTCCCCAAAACCTGCTCGCATATGCCGAGCTCACGGTGAACTGGCCATGCGCCTCCCAGGACCAAGAGACCACATCCTGCTCCTCAACACGCGGCTCCCAAGCTTGTACTCTCGACCATAGATCCAGGAACTGCCGCATCGTGGCCTCGTCCATGTCCGACCCAACATGCTATGCCCAATCTCCACTAGCTGCTACCTGACCCACCATCGCTCCTTGCCTGATTCTTGGTGGGATCCTTTTGTACACTGCCGGTGCCAGCTCCTGCACCCTCATGCCATCCAGCCATCTATCCTCCCAGAACAATGTAGTCCTCCCATCTCTAGCCTCGACTCTAGTTGCTGCCCTGAATAGTTGCATGGACTCCTTAGGCACTTTTATAGTGAATTCGCTCCACGGTCTGTTACCATCCACCCGTTTCAGCCACGACCACCTCGCTTGCATTGCCACATTCAACCACTGTAAGTTAGGGATCCCCATACCTCCTGCCCACTTAGGGGCACACACCGCTTCCCAGGCCACCGTGCAATTGCCTCCATTTGCCTCGGCCCTCTTGCACCACAGAAATCCCCTGCATACTTTGTTCATGGCCGCAATAGTCTTCATCGGCAGGTCCAGTGCCATCATCGCGTGATAATGCTAACCATTGGAACGTCAGAAAAACGTCGATGTGTTAGCAGTGCTTGCAATCTCGGGCGCCGTTGGAACATCGATGTGTTAGCAGTGCTTGCAATCTCTTTTCCCTAACTCTTACATCCTTGTAAGTTACCTTATGCATCTGTGCTTTGTTCTAGACTTTCACGTGTATGTGTTTTTAAGGTTCCAAATAGGAAAGGCCATACCTTTTCAAAATAGAATTTAGAGTAGACAATTTTTATAGAGAAAGGCGTTTTGGAGGCTGAGCTCCATGGAGGCCTTTATTATTGAAAAATTCAAATTCAAACTTTTATGGTCCAAAATTTTTGAAAAAAATATGCGTGTACGTAATGATGTAACCCACATGTGTGTAAAAATTCATGACGAAATACCTTGAGTTGCAACCTGTACAAAAAATACAAATTCATGGACTGGGAGAATGAATAGTATCATATGTTAAATAGCCCTAGATTTGTGTTTTTTGCGCAGCCCTCATTTCAATGTATTTTGAACCGAAAATTTACACACATGCGGGTTACGCCTTCATGTATAGCTGTATTTCTTTTCAGAATATTTTGAAATATAAAAATATGAATTTTGATGAAATTTCAAATTTGTATTTGGAGGCCTCACTGGAGGCCGAGCTTCAAAAGGGATTTCCTTTTTTATAGGACTATTCAAACCCCCACCAAGTCCATATAACCAGGTCCTACACAAGCACTCGGGACCATCCGTGTAGCTTGCTACCTGCAAATTTGCATCCAGGCTAGGGTTGAAATTCGAGCCGAGTCGAGCTAGCTCGGCTCAACTCGCTAGAGCTCGTTTTGTTAACGAGCTAGCTCGACTCGACTCGTTACTATAACGAGCTCAAACCCAGGATTGACTCGACTCGTATAACTCGCGAGCTGGCTCGTTTAGCTTGTTAAGCTCGTTAAATATATGAACATAAAACCCTCAAATATGATAAAAAAATTATTATGTATATATTAAACATATATATCACTAAACAATTATAATTTTCTTGTAACACATGAGTCTCCTGGGCGGCTGGGCCTTGTGTTGTGCGCCTGGGACGCGGGATGCTGAGTTGCTGATATTTTTTTTTCCGGATTTGGAGTAGCTGATCTTTTATACCGAGCCTAACGAGTTACACGAGTACTCGAGAGATTGGCTCATTTAACTTGGTCTATAAACGATCTTAAACTAAAGCTCGACTCGATCGTGCCATTTCCCCTTCGAAAGTCATTTTAGAAGGAAACTATATAAGTTGTATCCCTCCTAAGATGTAGTGCGAGACATGACATATACAACAAAATTTCCATAGAAAACCTCTCATGCCTTTCCCCTTGTGGGACCAAGGCTTTCCCATGTGGAGATGAATATGTCCTTCCCTTTTGCCACTTATCCAAGTCCTCCATCGATGGACCTGCTACAAGACAAACCTCTGTCCCATCCCTAATTTATTTGGGAATTACTCCCTTCGTTTGGAATTACTTGTCACAAAAATGGATGTATCTACAACTAAAATACGTCTAGATACATTTATTTCTTGGACGAGTAATTCCGAACGGAGGGAGTATAAGACTACGGTGAAAGGGTTAGGGTGGGTTAACTCCAAAAAAGGTTTTTCGAGGTACTCACTCCGTCCAGAAATACTTGTCGAAGAAATGGATGAAAATGGGTGTATCTATAACTAAATTACGTCTAGATACATACGACAAGTATTTTCGAACGGAGGGAGTATTTTTTTTTATTAGGGTGGGTTAACTAAAAAAAAGTTTTTTCAAGGTCGCCGGCGTGCTGCTCTTCCGGCGCTCTCCATACTCTCCTTGCTCACCCACGGCGGTGCCTCCCCCGACTGGACCTTGGTAGCAGCGACTCCGGCTCCGGCGACCTGCACAGAGCCGCATGAGTGCAGCGACCGGAGTAGGACCGCCCATCCCAAGCAGCGACCCCTCCCGACGATGGAGTGATGGACTCCACAGGACCCTGGTCGATGCACTCCACGGGGTCGCGTCATTACCAATGCCAGCGCGGTGACCACGAGCGGCAACATGTTCGGGCGCCACCAGCTGTCTTCTCAAGTGGGTCTCCCGTTCCTGTTCGGCCTCCCGTTTCTACTCGGATTACAAGTGAGGTCTCCCGTTCCTATTCGGTTCGGCCTCGGTTGGTTCACCAAGCGCCTATAAGTGCAACCGGGAGCAGCCTGCCGTCGCTGTGTGCCTCGTACCAGATCAGATCCAAGCCAAAAGAAAGTTAGTGAAGACCCACCGCCGATGGAGACCGAGATTGTGGTCAGAAATTTGCCGGAGCTGCCGCGGGACGTATTGATGGATATCTTTGCCCTCCTGGAGATCCCAGACCTCATGCGTGCGGCCTCCGTCTGCTCCTCCTGGCGGTCTGTCTATACCAGCCTAGGCAGCGAGCTTCAGCTGTACAAACGGCCCCAGACGCCTTGCCTCCTCTACACCTCCGAATCTGCGGCTGACAACGTAGCTTGTCTCTACAGCCTCGCGGAAAAGCGGGTCTACAATCTGACTCTTCCGGATCCACCCATCCGCAGCAGGTATCTGATTGGGTCCTCACACGGCTGGCTGATCACTGCCGACGAGAAGTCCGAGCTACACCTTCTCAACCCGATCACCTGTCAACAGATTGCTCTCCCGTCAGTGATCACCAACAAGAGGGTGAAGCCGGTCTTCGACGACGCAGGCACAATTAAGGAGTACGAGTGGTGGGAGCCGAAGCACGACATTGAGCTAGACTGTGAAGTGGATGGTCACCATAAGTCAACCCATGCTCTCGACAAGCTTCGTGACTTGTTCTACATCAGGGCACGCATATTTCCTGACCCGTCCACAGAAAGCTACATTGTGGTTCTCACCCACAGTGAATCACGACAGCTTTCGTTTGCGAGGGTAGGAGATTGTAAGTGGACGTTGCTGCCGGTGGGTTATGACTATCAAGATTGCATCTACATGGATGGCCTATTGTATGCCTTCACGAGCTTTGGACAGATCGATACTTTTGATCTCAACAGTCCTACCATTACAAGGAATAGAATTATAGGGGACATGAAGACTTATACTCAAGGGCGGCTGTATGTTCTCCAGGCTCCATCCGGTGATCTGCTGCAAGTTCACAGGAATTTGGAAATCCAAGATACTGATGATGATGATGAGGAGTTCATATTTGTGACTAACAACATATTGTTATATAAGGTTGACATGGCAGCAAAAGACCTTGTGTTAGTAAACGACTTGCATGATCAAGTGCTATTTCTTGGGTGTAACCAGTCGCAATACCTTAGCGCTGAAGAATTCTCTCAGCTGAAGCCAAATTGTGTCTACTTCACTGATGATGATACATGTGCTTCGGAAGATAAGAATTGCTGCCGGGATATAGGTGTTTTAAACTTGGAAAACAACAAAAGGGAAGAAATTCTACCACAGCTTTGGTGTAGCTGGCCAAATCCCATATGGGTAACACCGAGTCTTGCAAGGATGAACTGGGGTTGTACAAATAAATGACTTATTATAGTTATGTAGCCCGCTTCTAGGATGTTATTAAAAATGGTCCAGTAGGGTCGTGTTGACTGAGATTACCAATTTTGTGGGCAGAAGCTACAATAACGGAGGCATGTTCTGTTTATCTGGCTTGCTAACGTTGCTATATTTAAACGTCTTCCTTTTTATGAATTGTCTAGCATGTTTTGTTTTGGGTCCGGATAACTGCCACACGTCCGGTGTGTGGGGGGTTGTGCCGCACGTCTCGTGCGGCATGAACAGCAACCAGCCCGCACGATCACGTCCGCGTGCACAACGGCACGGCCCGCACTTCTGGTGTGTGGCAACCCCGCCCGGACGTGCGGGCCAGAGCACCCAGCAGCCCGCACGATCCAGCCGTCCCGGCCTCTTCTCCCACCTCCCGAATCCCGACTGCTGCCCATATTCTCCCACCTCCCGATCCCCTACCTCCATCGCCGGCCTTCTCTGGTTGCCATGGCAACCAGATCAGATCCGTAGGGCATTCCCACCTGAAACCACACCCTCACCCTCCCCCCACCCCCTCCCCCCCGCCTCCAATCCA